ACATGGTGAAACCCCATTTCTACTGAATATATGATAATTATCTGGACTTGGTGGTGCATGCTTGTAATCCTAGCTACTCAAGAGATTGAGGCACAAGAGTCACTTGAATCCAGGAAGCCAAGGTTGCAGTGAGTTGAGATTGTGCCCTTTCATTCCAGCCTTGGCAATAATGTGAGACTCTCTTTTAAAAAAAAAAGGATAACATAAACCTAGAACATATGGAAAATCAGAATCCAAGGAAAGTGTTCAAATAAGTATAAGAAAAAAATTAAATCCATGCAGTTAACTTTTTAGTTTTTGGAGACAAAGTCTCATTCTGTGGCCCAGGCTAGAGTGTAGTGGTGTGATCTAGGCTCACTGCAACTCCAATATCCGAGGTCCAAGTGATTCTCCTGCCTCAGCCTCCCGAGTAGTGGGTGCTACCATGCCTGGCTAATTGTATTTTTAGTAGAGGCAGGGTTTCACGGTGTTAGCCGAGATGGTCTTGATCTCCTGACCTAGTGATCTGCCCACTTAGAACTCCCAAAGTGCTGGGATTACAGGTGTGAGCCTGTAACTTCACCACGCCCAGTGAAGTTAACATTTTTATAACGGGTTTGATATAATGATTGTGACATTCTGGGTGTATCTTCTGTTTCTTAAAATGTTTAAAGCGTTTAATAGAATCTGACAGTTTAGGTTTGGATATAAAGAAACATTAAGATCTATTTATATCAGAAGTGAATATTTAAAACAGTGGTCATATCTAATTTTATAAATTCTTAATTTTTAATTTATTAGTTGAAATGTTAAAATAAGTAGAGGAATGCTGACTGTTTAAAGAACATCAGGCTGGGCACGGTGGCTCACACCTTTAAGCCCAGCACCTGGGAAGCCAAAGCAGGTGGATCACAAGGTCAGGAGGTTGAGACCAGTCTGGCCACTATGGTGAAATCCTGTCTCTACTAAAAATACAAAAATGAGGTGGGTAAGGTGACCCATACCTGTAATACCAGCTACTCGGAAGGCTGAGGCAGACGAATCACTTGAAACAGGGAGGCAGTGGTTGTAGTGAGCTGAGATCACACCATTGCACTCTAGCCTGGGCAACGAGAAATAAAATTGTGTAACTTTCCAAGAAGTAAAAACCAATTAACATTCTAAAGTCACATTACGCTCATAATCTTTAAAACATTGTTTTCAGAAAAATTTCTGCTGAGTCAGAATATGAAATAGGATTCAAATACTTATTTTTTTGATAGGTTTAAATGACTTTGAGTAACAATCTCAATATTTCTTGCTTTATGGAAAAATTTTAGTTTCTCCAGGCTCCCATGTGGATTGGACATGATGGTGTTGAAGGGCCTCTAATGATCCCCGCCTTGGATATGTGTAGTCCTCTCCCACACTGCAGGATTGGTCTGTGAATACAGCAGAAATGCTGTATGACTTCCTAGATTAGATCACAAAAGGCATTGTGGCTCTTCTCTCTTTTTTATACACATGCACATTATTCCATCCAGTGGAAGCTAGATGCTCTGTTGTGAGGGCAGCCAGGCAGCCCCATGGAAAGGCCCATGTGGCAAGGCATTGAGGACCTCTGCCAAAAGCTACATGGATGACCACCTTAAAAATAGATGCTCCAGCCCTGGATAAACCTTCAGATGACTGCTAATAGCTTGTCTGTAATCCCATCAGAGACCCTGAACTTGAGACACTCAGCTAAGTCACTTCTAGTTTCCTCACCTACAGAAACTGTGTGAAATAATAAATGTTTATCATTTTAAACCATGGAAGTTTTGGATAAATTGTGATGCAGCAACAGATAACTAGTACAAAGTCCCTTTCAAAAGCATGCTTAATTGATTCTCTGATTCTCATACCACACTGGTAATAGCTGCCATGTGAAATATTCTTACTGGAAGCCTTGAGAAGTTTTAAATCTCCCTAGATTCCTGCACATTGCTTGCATTAATTAACACATATATCTGTGTCTATCTATCTATATATATGAAGTTAATGCATTTTTATAAACATTTTTTGAAATTCAATTTCCATTTTAAAGACATATGTTTATTAAAGAAAATGTGAGGGAGAAGTTAAAAAAATTACCCATAGTTCTATCACCCAAAGGCATCTGTAGTTAGCACACTTGAGTGTACTTCCCTATAGTTTCTTTAAGAGTGTTTAAAAAAGTAGCTGTGATCATGTGCTGTATAACCATATTTTCACTAAGTCAAATCCCTTTCCTTTAATAATGAAAATAAAGTGCATTGCTCGTTATTGTCACTCTCCCTGCTCCAAGTCACAGGTTGTCAGAGAAATCAGATGTAACTATGTCCTGAGCATGCAGAAGGCTTGTGAGAGTGTTGTGTGGCTGGAACCAGGCCCTGCAGGGAGTGACCAGTGCCTGGGGGTACCAGACACATGGAAGAAAATTTACATCAACAGGCAGTTCCCTTTGTGCATATCCTTTTTATTTTCAGTAAAAATGTGTGTGAAGGGCCAACTTCTGTCCCCGATAACTTATATTTATATCCAAAATTTCTCAAGGGAATCAACATTCCTTTGTTCTCTGATCTTTGGAGGGCTGCAATCCTGGCAAAGTGGCCCCTTTCCAAGGCCCTGAGAAGGGTTCTACAAAATGTTCAGATGGTCATACATTTTTTCAAAATTTAATAAAAGAACTTGAATCACAATTGGTTAAGACTGCTACATCTTTCCAACTGTCCCACCCCCCACCCCGACACACACATACTTTCCTTTATGCAGGGTGGTGGTGAGTGGTTATGTGAGGACATTTTATTGTTATAATATCTTTTTTTAACAGAGCCTAAAAAATTATGTAAGGTCCAGGATCTAAAAACCTGGATATAGCTCTTCATCTCTGAATTGCAAATATATATGTAATATATTTTTAAATATAAATATATATCTGTGTGCATATATATATACAGCTTTTTGAATTGCTTTGTACTGTAAACATTATTTATTTATTATTTGCTAGCCTTATTTTTTAAGTCAGAGGAAATTTCAGAGCCATGAGTGTTACATAGAGGATTTCGAATGAGCTCAGTTTGTCCTAAGTGGTTTTATGTGATTCCCAGGGTTGTTTCATCAGAATCCATAGGTTCTCAAGAGGCTCTCCTCCTTGTGCTCACAGAACCCCACTTATTGACTCTATAGATAGTTTCTGCAGAAAATAACTGCCTCTTTGGTTGTCCACTGTGCTCCTTCAACTAGGAAAGAACCAAATAGATTTAGCCTACTCAACTTGACACCTTTGAACAAAGAATGCAGAATATATAGCACCAATGAGGTGAATGTTCAACCCTGTAAAAAACTGCTACACTCTGAATGTTTATTTATTTTACTTTTTTTTTTTCTGAGACAGAGTTTTACTCTTGTTGCCCAGGCTGGAGTGCAATGGCAAAATCTCAGCCCACTACAACCTCTGTCTCCTGGGCTCAAGCGATTCTCCTGCCTCAGCCTCCTGAGTAGCTGAGATTACACATGTGTGCCACCACACCCAGCTGATTTTGTATTTTTTTTAGTACAGCTGGGGTTTCACCATTGGTCAGGTTGGTCTGGAACTCCTGACCTCAAGTGATCCACCCTCCTCAGCCTCCCAAAGTGCTGGGATTACATGTGTGAGCTACTGTGGGGCCTCATTGTACTTGTTGATCAGAGAAATTTATTCTTCTTCTATAAAAACTTTTGAAATTTTGAAATCAAATCAATGCCTGCTGTAGCAGCCAGGAAGATATGCTCTTCAGACGACCCTTTTTTTTGTTGTTGTTGACAGAATACCAAACTATATTTACTGTTTACAGTAGTAAAGGACAACAAATGATGTACAAATTGGTGAATAAACACAACAGAGCCAACAAACACCCCACCCAAGCCCATACAGCAAACAGGAAATGAGAACATTTTTAGCAAGATTTCAAGCAAGCAAGAGATGATGGGTTGTTCAGGTGACTATAAAAAGGCAGAGAATGGCCACCAAGCAGCAGTGGATCCTCAGGGAAGGACGATAGGCAGAACTATGAAAATGTTTAATTGGTATAGATCCCAAAATATTTCACAGAACTGAAATCACCAGACTAATGCATAAATTCAATACGTATTTGGAAAGCAGCACAGCACAAACCCATGAGAAGAACGTGAAGTCATCATTCCATGGGTTCATTTGTAACCACGCTTGGAAGTAGCTCTTTTACACAACAACGTAACTGCAAATTTAGCAATACTTAATCTTACTTTTTTATGTATAGACCATAGTTAGTCATCAGAAGCAAATACTAGAAGAAATCTGAGGCCATAACACCAATACCAAATGAGAAATGTGAGAATTTCTTCAGTATTAAGAAGAAAAAGCAATTCTGGTTGTGCCAATCCTTGCCTGTGTGCCAATGCCAGGTACTGAGCAGGCAGTGGGGTGGGAGGTTGGCAGGGGGGTGGGTCCTGGGCCTCAGACCCCAAGGTCACATGCTCAAGGGCCAGAGAGCCTGTGGGGCCAAATTATCAAAGGAGTCAGTTATTTTTTACCCTTTGAAAAAACATTCCAGTATTCTCCCTTAAACTTTACCATATACTGACAAAGCCTAAATTTGCAATATTTAGCATTTTAATCACCTGTGCCTGTAACCACAAATGACAGTCTGTTCTCCCTACCCACCTTTCCCCCAGTACCTGGCCGATAGCTACGCCCCACTGCGGTAGACACCAATTCTCCATGTGACCAGTGAGCAGAGGAGGCAACCGGCTTGGGAGTCGGATCCCTGGCCAGACTGAAAGCAAACATTCAGGCTACAATTTTGGGGTTAAAAAAAATGTTACAGGAGGGGGAAAACAAAAACAAACCCAAAATACATTGCAACTCATTTTACCTGAACAAAGGTAACAATTCTGATTGGCCCGATTTCAGTTACAGATTCATCCCTGCAGATAGTTTTGAGTCGCACTTGAAGTACATCAAGGAGAGGAAAACCATTGTGGTGAACGTCCTCAAGTTTCCACAGACGACTTTGTGGTCAGCATGGTCACCATTCAACAGCAATGCAAGGACGGACGGCCCAGGCTGGGGAGGACCCTCTAGAAACCATGCCCTGCCAGGCTGCTCTCTGGTGCACCTCCTGTCTGCTGCTGGAACACATCGATGGTGTCCTCGTCCAACTCCAGCTGTGCTGGAGTGTTGGTTTCATTAATTGGCTGCCCATCAAACCTGAATCTAATCTATCTCATTGACAAGCCCTACCTTTCGCAGTAGGCCTTCATCAGCTTGCTCAGCGGCGTGTGCCTCTTGATCTTGAACTGCACCACGGAGCCATCCTGCCCGGCCACCTTCAGGTTGATGTGGTCATTCTCTGTCTTCACGCCCTCCTTGGGCTTCTCCTCGGACATGGCTGCTCCGGCGGCGCAGGCAGGCGGCGCGGGGGAAGCAGCACGGAGCGGGCGAGTCACGCTCATGGCCCCGCCGCTCTCCCCCAGATGGCATTTTAAGAAGATCTGTGGGCCAGGCGCGGTGGCTCACACCTGAATCCCAGCACTTTGGGAGGCCAAGGCGGGCAGATCATGAGGTCAAGAGTTCAAAACCGTCCTGGCTAATATGGTGAAACCTCATCTCTACTAAAAAATACAAAAATTCTCTGGGCGTGGTGACGCGTGCCTGTAATCCCAGCTACTTGGGAGGCTGAGGCAGGAGAATTGCTTGAACCTGGGAGGTGGAGGTTGCAGTGAGCCGAGTTCCTGCCACTGCACTCCAGCCTGGTGCCTGGCGATGGAGCAAGACTCTGTCTCAAAAAAAAAAAAAAAAAGAAGAAGAAAACCTTCTGTGGGGCACACGGCAGAATGACAGCCCCAGCTACCACATTTTTGGATTTACTGTGGCATTCATGCTGAGCCGAAGCCCCCTGTTCCCAGCCAGTGACTGAACACTGCAGAGGTGCTAGGATGAGCTCTCGCCCATCTTGCCGGACACAGGACTCTGCTAATGGGCAACTTTTGCTTAGACACTGCCTATCAGCCCAGCAAATCTTTCTCAGAACTGCTCTGAGTTCCCAGGCTCTTCCTGTCCAGGCTTTCCTTGCCTCCTCTTTTCACAGGTGGCAGACCTGGTCTCAATCCCTGCTCTCTCCCTGTCTACTCCTGCTTCCTCCTCCCTTTGTTATTCACAGGCTAAGCATTAAGCATCAAGTAAGTAAACATCAGGTCCCATCTAAGCATCTCTTCTCTGAGCATCTGAACTGACATACATACTCACTGGTAAAAATGAGCAAATCCAGAAGGGCTTCTATGAAGAAGCAACAGTTTCTCCCCTCATTCTCTCCTTCCCCGCATTTCCTCACATGAGGAAACACTTTCAACAGTTCCCCTTACGGCTCTTTGGCGGTTACTTTAATACCCCTAAAATAATAAGTTTATGCCATGTTTATTATTTATTTGATATATGTTTCATATATAAATATATGTAATATGTATTTTTTAAATAATATGTTTATGCCATTTCTTTTTTAACCATTGAAGTGTAATTGACACACAGTAAACTGCTTATATTTAATGTGGGCTGTCTGATGAATTTTGACATTTATATATACAATCAAGCTTTTAAAAGGAGCAAGGGGATATTGTCAGGGGTAAGCATATCCACTACCTCTGAAAGTTTCCTCATGCTCCTTTTAGTGCCCCCTACCACCTTTCTCCACACTTGCTGCTCTGTTTTCTGTCACTGTGGCTTAGTTTTCATTTTTCTAGAATTTTAAATAAATGAAACCTTGTGGTATGTGATGTTTATTTTCTGGCTTCTCTCACTCAGCATAATTAATTTAAGATTCAGTCATGTAGTTACATGTACCTAATTCTTTTTTGTTACTAAGTAATACATCTCATTGTACAGATATAGCATGATTTATTTATTCATTCATCTTTTGGTAAATATTTGGGTTGTTTCAAGCTTGGGACTATCACACATAAAGTTGCTATGAACATTTTTACACAAGTGTTTGTATAGATTTACATTTTTTTCTCTTTCCTTTCTCAGCAGTCATTGTTCCTTATCATGAGGTGTCCAATGTCTTGAGTGCCAGTGTTTCATATATTTTGTCTGGTAGTTTAGTTGTTTCAGGCATGATGGTAAATCTTACCCTTCTTACTCAATTCAACTGGAAGTGGAACTATCACCTACTTCTTTAGCTAATCGTAATCTTCCTCTGAGTGATCCAGTGCCACCTCATGTGTAGTGTATGAACCCCCAACATACCTATTTTTCCTCCCAGCCTTTGTGCTATGTTTGGGACACATTTTGCTTTTACTTGTAATAAACTCTTCAATACATTATTATTACTTCTCTGTTTCTTTAGTTGACAAGTTTAGACATTATCTGCTGATTTCTACAATGGTAGCTATGGATTTAACTCACTTACCTTTATCTTTCAAATACAGCCTTTCTTTTCTCCACTTCCCACTATTAACAGTTACCTTTGTAATAACAAAACACATACTCATATCCTTACTTCTAATTCCATCAACGATTTGACAGTACTTCTTAATTCTTTCCTTTGAGAGGTGAAAGTATGAAATCCCCAACCCTTTTCTTCATTTCTTGATTCCTCCTGATTGAAATCAAATGCTTAATTTTAGCTTATGATGTCAAAAAAAAAGAAAACAAAAACATGAACCTCAGTCTGCAACTACCCCCGTCTTCTATTTTAGGCTGATCCTGTGGGTTGATTCTAAGAGTTGAAAACTGATGAGCGGTGATTATAACATTATGACCATGTAACGACTGTTCACCTCTTAGCTGCATAAGACACTATGATTTTGTATCTTATTTTTTTACATAGCTTTGCAATTTTCTTGGGATTTCTAATTATTTCCTCCTCTCCATTCCCATCTTTTGTATTATGTGATTTTTTTACAGCTTGATATTCCAGTTCTTTTTTTTTTTTTTTTGAGACGGAGTTTCGCTCTTGTTACCCAGGCTGGAGTGCAATCTCGTGATCTCGGCTCACCACAACCTCCGCCACCTGGGTTCAGGCGATTCTCCTGCCTCAGCCTCCTGAGTAGCTGGGATTATAGGCACGCGCCACCATGTCCAGCTAACTTTTTGTATTTTTAGTAGAGACGGCATTTCACCATGTTGACCAGGATGGTCTCGATCTCTTGACCTCGTGATCCACCCGCCTCGGCCTCCCAAAGTGCTGGGATTACAGGCATGAGCCACCGCACCCAGCCGATATTCCAGTTTTTTAAAGATAGCATCAAATATGTGGATCACTTCAGTTTATATACATTTTTATTTTCCAGAAACTTGCTTTTTAAAACTCATGTCCCACCAGCTCCAAACTGGACTTTTTTTCTCTAGATTTATTGAAAAGCTAAAATAGAAGAGACAGATAAGCCATGGCTTCCGTCCATTTTTCTCTTGTTTGTTCTTCAACTCCATGTTTTTCACTTTTTTGATTTACTGTCTTGTTTTGTGGGAGCATATCCTTGAATCACTTCTATAAGAAGGTAAACTTACTGAGCCCTTCCATGACTTAGAGTAACTTTATTCTACTCTCCAATTATATTGGTAATTTTATTGAATATTGACTTTTTCATTTAAAATTATTTTTCCTCAGAACTTTAAAGGCAATATTTCATTGTCTTCTATCAACCATTATTTCTGAGAAATTAGATGACAATTTCAGTTTTTGGAAATAGAGAGAGTTTTCTTTTTTTTTTTGCTTTGCTTTGAAAAAAATCTTTGAAAGAATCAAGCCATTCATTTATTAACAGAACTTTGAGATATAATTCAAATGTTTTTATATGAATATATATATTCCTATATATATATATACACATACACACACGTATATAGTTGTTTTAGGACACAAAAATACTAATATTGAGGAAAAAAAGCACTGGTCTACATAAATATTGAAACTATCTGGCATAGCAAAAGTCCCCTTTAAGAAAATGACTTACAAAGTGCAGAGTGACAGAAAATGCTCACAGCATGTACATGCGAAGAATGTGCCATGTTGGCCCCAGCTGTCAACATTGCTAGTGTTGCTGCTGTTCTCAGTGCAGACAGCTGTGGCATTTGTTCTGGGCCTTCGGATGCTGAGGTTGGCTGAGCCGGCCCTGCCTGGGCCATAGACCTTAAATGGGACAGAGGGGAGGGACTGTGGGTCAGAATCAGCATACTGAGGAGGGTGGGTGTGTGGAGCAGAGCCGACTGTGGATCCCCTGTCCCCAGGTGAGGTGCCCCCTCAGCTGTGCATTGAGTGAGGAAGGTAAAGAGAGACGCCCCGGGTATGTTCAGATGCGACTCCGCTTCCTGACACTCTGCTGTGGAGCCTGAGCTTTCCAAAGCTGCCTTACATCTCCCAAAACCTTCACAGGAGCAGAGCCACTGCATTTAAATAAGAGCTGCGACCAGCCTGTTCCTGGGCCCTTTACCCTGACTTCTCACAGCTGACCCAGTGCGGTGAAGGTGTGTGCCAGTAGGTCAGTGTTGCCACCCAAACTTACCCAGTGGGCACCCTGAAGACCAAACTCTCATGGAGGCTCTGAGTCATTTTCCAGCTGGGAGAGGCCATCTCAGGAGTGTGCCTCACTATCCCACACTGCCCTTAGGCCCCAAAGCCTTACTGCCTCTCCAACACATTGGGGCATCTTAGGTGGAGAGCCTTGGCCATCCTCATCCTCCTTTCTAAAGCTGCTCACGATGTCAGAGAGGGGACAGGGCAGCTGGCAATCCTAAATTAAGGGGGCATGGTTTGAAGGGAGGTCACTTGCGCCTGCCATATGTGTCAGCAGAGCATGTGTTGTACCGTCAGTGTTTCCTTGGACCCAGAAGCATAGAGTTTACTCACACTATTAACACTCATGATCAGCCATCTATAGGCCTTTCTTTCATATTTTTCTTTATCACCATTTCAAATCATATTTTCCTCCATCTCTGAGTCACCAACTCAAGTGTAAATAATGTGGTTCCACTCTGACTTCCAAATCGTCTCTACAAATGCTTAAAGAATTCATAATATGTTTGCATTTTTAAGTAAATAATTTTTCCTCTTTAGGCCTCATCTGGTTTATTGTTTATTTTTTCTAAGATTTAAACTCAGACTTGAAGATTTAATTTCATCCATGTGTACATATGAATCATTTACATTACTTCCAACAAGTCAGCATTGTGTAAACTACACTTTAGTTATAAACCCTTGTTCTGAGCAGCCAGGTTGCTGCCTATACCATGTGACCAGTGATGACTTTCTCCTACGCATTTCCCGCCATCTCTGAACCACAGTGGACTAGCTGTGCACACTTAATGTTACTATGTGCTGAGGGACATCCTGCTGGACGGCTGACCTCATTAATATCCCAGTTTTGAGTAAGAGCTTCTGAAGCTCCACAGCCTGACTGAAAATTTGTTGTATTTTTATTTTTTAAATAGCAGCAATAGTTGTCTGCTCAACACTCACTGGTTTCATGCCT